AAATAAATAAATAAATAAATAAATAAATAAATAAAGATGTCACATAAATTTAAAGGCTGTAAAATCTATCTACTCCATTTCTGTGCAGGGTGGGGCCGAGAAAAAACCATGAAGATTACAATGATGAGATAAAGGCTAATGATCTGATCCTTTATCTGCTCTCTAAAAGGTTGTATAAAAATTGTTTCCTTAGTTTTGTTATCAAGTGGATTGCCATTCTTGGTAATGGAAACCAGAATGCAGCTGGTTCCTATCTCTGTTCCCATCTCTAAAAATACAGATGTCTGATTTTGATCAGTGAAATTGCATATAAAAGACAGAAGCAAAGTTTCTACAAAAGCAGGATCCAGGTTCTACATAAAAAGAATAATTCATATTCAAAATCTCTTCACTGCAGGCATAAATGTCAGCATCATTAGTATATAAGGCATCCTAAAAGTCTTAGCACAAAAATGACTAAAAGCATTACCTGAAAGTTTGCTTATTTACTTAAATATTCTTTTTTTTTTGAAATGAGGTTCTGCTATGTTGCTCAAGCTCATTTTCAACTGGAGGGCTAAAGCAATGTTTCTGCCTCAGCCTCTTGAGCAGCTGGGATTACAGGCACATGTTGTTGCATCTGACTAGCACTTGAATGTCTTTGACACTTAGATGCTATGAATTCTGAGGTACATTTCTTTATCACAGATTACTTGGGCTATACGTTGGTACTCTCAGTGGTCATGAATACATCAAAATTCTCCCATGGGAGGCAACATCCTTGTGTATTTAAGTTTCCTTCATCACTACTATTAGCGTTAGCAGGGCTCTCACGGCTACTTGCAGAAACAAATCTTCCAATAGCCACTGCCCCAGATGGCTGAGGCTGTTCTGCTCAGAGGAATAAATGTCTGCACAAGTGAGGGCCACGGGTAAGTACTGTACCTTCTCTTATTTGTGTGCATCTGTTTTGTAGCCTCCAGCAGTCACATAAGACAATACAAAAATAAATCTCAACCAGGTATACATGCCTGCAATCCTAGTTACTCAGGGGGTTGAGGCAGGAGCTTTCCAAGTTAGAGGCAAGTCTGGGTCTTTTAGGGAGACCCTGTCATTTTATTTATTGTCATAAAATAAAGCAAAGTAAAATACAATGAAACAAAATAAAATAAAAGTTGATGTGGATGTAGTTCAGATCTTACTGGGTTCAATCCCCAGTACTGGAAAGAGGAATAAAAACGTCTTATACATTATTTATTGATTTACTCCTTTATTTTGTTGTGCTGAGGGTTAAATCCAGGGCCTCTACCACTGAGCTACAGTCCAGCCCCTTACCATGCATTTTTTAGTTTGGCAAAGGCTGTCATCTTTTACTTAACTTGGTTACCGGAGTAACTGAGAAAGCAAACCTATTTATAGTCATGTGCCTCTATTCAAACACACTTTACCATAAAAGCGATACGCAGTTCACATTAAGTATAGAGTTTCACGTGTTAGCTTGACAAGTGTCCTCTTGACAAGCTTCGGACACTGCTCTTTACAATCATCTACATACCTGGAAAGGCACTGTACCAAAATTAGCACACTGAGCTACCAAGGACACAGAGATGAGGACAAAAAGAGACTGTGGGTCTGAAAATAGCTAGAACAATCTAAAAGGCATCTGATCCAAGATTGCAACAGTACGGATCAGTAAGCCTAACAAACAAGAATAACATGTGACTTCTTGGTGAACTGGAAATATAGGTTATCTTATACAAAATGATAGCTAAGTGATATGGAAAGGAGGAACCATCGTGCTTATACCTTATAAGTGGCTTAGTTATTTTTTTAGTCAAGAGGTATCATCCTATTTTTAAAGCAAGTACTCTAATGAGTTTTTCTTTAAATAAGACCCACAGCTATAAAACCTACAGAACAAAAAAATTCTGAAAGGCTTTACATAACTTGTCTAGAAGATGTATACTCAGAAAGTTGACTAGAGCATCCTGAAGCTCTTACAATACTCCCTGGTTACTGCTGCTAACCCCTCTAATTTCACTTAGCCAGCATCCAAGCAGTCAACTTTAGATGCAAGGAAAATGCCGAAGGCTCTTAAGTTACAGACCTAGCCTAGGATGGATAAGACTAATAGTTCTGTGGCGGGACCAAAAAAATCCACAAGTGTTACTATAAAAATGCAATCTTAGTGAGCACTGTGATGGAATAGCCCCAAATTTTCAAAAATAATTTACACAAAAGATCATGCCATTGAGAATACTATGCTGGTCTTCTCTGCTAAGCCAAAAGCACGTAATGCAAAATGCAAGCAGAGCAGCCACAATTGCTGTCCATTACCCCTGCTACACAGAGACTATTCGTCACAGCAGCCAGCTGACACAATGCACCATCTCATCCCCCCAGGACGCTGACCTAACAGGAGCAGGACATGAAAGGGAAAGTACCAAACCGATACACACACTTTCAGAGGAAGCCTTCATGGCTTTTCAATTATCTTGGTTGTTCAAAAATATCTATACGTCTCTCCAGAATGCCTGTCTATGGGAGTATGGGCAAAAAGTTGAACGCATTTTCAAGTATCTCAATACTTTCAATGATGTTCCTTTTTAAGTGGGTCATACCCTACTATACTTTTCTTTTTTCTTTTTTTTTTTTTCACTTTTTACCATGAACTGAGATCAGACAGTTGGGCTGCATCCGGAGACAGCATGTTGGTGGTGCCTTGAAAGAGTCTCTTGGGCTGGCTTTCAGTCTCCATCTCACCTGTTTCAGAAAAAGATGACACTCCTGTAAAATGGCTTTACAAGTACAGGACTGGTGCCAAAATGAGATGATTTTTACTTAACTACAGCTTAGACTACTTCTTCAAGTTATTACTTAAAAAACTATTTCTCTATGTGTCTTAATATAAAAAAATACACTTCTACATACCTCATCCAAGAAAGTCAGCAACCTTAAAAAAAAAAACCCCTCATTTTAGTCTTTTTTTTTTTTGCGGAACCAGAATTGAACTCAGGCCCTTGCACTTGCCAGGGAAGCGCTTATTCCACTGAGCCATCTCCCCGGCCCCTATCATTTTAGTATATGTAGTACGTTATATACACACATTCCTTAATAGAAGAGTATAATGCTGATTATAAGCAAAATAAAGACAACCAACAACAAAAATGAAGTATTCCCAAATAGCTGAAGCTTACCATGAATATTTTATGCTTGATGGTTAGCAAAAAATTATTTTATATACTTTAACATCTAATCATTTCCTTAGATAACATTAAGTGGGTTATTGATATGCTCTCTGGTAAATAGTGCATAAGTAAAAGGTTGTGTTATTGAAAATGAAGATTAAAAGTATAAGTATGGAGCTAGAGCACCGGAGAGATAGCTCAGTAGAATAAGCACTTGTCTGGCAAGCGCAGAGTCCTGAGTTCAATCCCCTGTACCGCAAAAAAAAAAAAAAAAAAAAAAGTATGGGGCTGGGGATACAGCTGAGTGGTATAAGCACTTGCCTGGTAAGCACAAGGCCCCAAATTCAATCCCCAGTACCACACACACACACATATAAAACAAGTGTGAAAGCCCACCTACAACTGAAAGCAATTATTATTGTTAACAATTTTGGTACTGTATTGTCTAATTCAATCTTATAGATTTTCTCAGAACTAATTAATAATAGTAAAACTAGACACCAAAAGGAGTAATGCTGAACGTTTTACCATCAGATGATAAAAGTTGCCTAACAAACCTAAGTTAGAAGGCTGGAGATATAGGGGGCCAGGGAGGTGGCTCAGTAGAATAAGCACTTGCCTGGCAAGCACAAGGGCCTGGGTTCGATCCGTGGTTCCACCAAAAAAAAAAAAAAAAAAAAAAAAGAAGAAGACTGGGGATATAGCTCAGTGACATAAGTGCCTGCCTGGCAAGCACAAGGCTCCAAGTTCAATCCCTGAACTAAAGGAAAAAGAAAACAACAAAAAAAAGCTAAATAAACCATAAGTTAGAAGCCTCTTTCTAAGTAAGCGGCACTTTCATTTAAAACATGCACATATATTGGTCTTGAAACTCTATCTGTATTTGAAAATGAAATGTTAATGACATTTTAATTCATGAAATCTATCTGCACTCCAAGAAGAAGTTAAATGATTTAGAACTCTACAAGATTCTTATAACAAAAAAAGATCAAACAAGAACAAACACAACATTCATTTATTCCATATCACTAATTGATAAGTAGTACTGTCTCTTCTCTGAAGATATTTTAAAAATTATTAAAATTCAGAAAATTTATTATGTATTTAGTTTTCCCCCATGCTTTAATAAATATGCAGCTTAAAAAATATACTGAGGTTTCAACTCCACCTCACTAGCAAGACTTCAGCTTTTTTGAACTAAGAATTCCGCCATCTGCTGGTATATTTTGGAATAGCAATGAAACTAAACACCCATACTGATTCCAATAATTTCCTGCAACAGATATTAAGCTGAAAAAAAAAACAAGCAGATATTAAGCTGATAACAACAATAATAGGATTTTTTCCAAGTGTTACTTTCAGTTAATTTCCCCAAGATTATCCTTAAGATTGTAAATAACTCCTTGCAAAATTAAACAAAGATTATTCATAACATAAACATATTCCTAAATATTAACCTTGTCACTGTATTAGGATCACAGATCACATCACCTATAATATTAAGTTGCATAAAATATAGTACTTTTTTGTGTCCGTGTGTGATCTTGTCACTGGAAAAATTTCATCAAAGCCAACAAATATCCATTCTCCCAACATTAGGAGAGTTAATTTATTGGTTCTGAAGATGACCTGTAGAAAGAAACTACGTGCAGGACTGCTTTTTATTTTATTTTTTTATTTGTTTTTTCATAATTAGGACTGCTTTTTAAAAGTCACTGTAAAACTCTTGTTTAATTAATATCTGAATCTTTTAATTCTATAGTCCTGTCCTCAAGAAGAACGACTAAACGAAGTTTTCCCATTTTTATGTCATCTGGAACATTCTATAAGTATCTGAAACTGCACTGACTGGGACTTTAATCCTTTTGGCTCAAAGTAAGGTTATTTAAAATGCATCCTGGTATACCAAAACTACAGATATGGGTAGTGTGTTTAGGTAGAATTTGGTGAAGGGGTCATCTCACCTTACATTTGAACATACAATGTGTTTACAGATATATGTGCTACAACACTATTATATATTTCTACAACAAAACAACAACAGCTTTTTTACATTCAGATCAGTGAGAGGCAATGGTGTTAGAATATATACTAATAATATGGATATCATCCAGATATAAGATATAAAAAATATAGGCAGTATCAGGTAGCTAATTTACAACTTGGAAGAGTACAACATATGTTGGGAATACTTCACATTTTTTTAAAAAGAAATGTTAATGAGCTCCTTTCAACTAGAAACCCTAGTTTTTATTTTAAGCTTCACTAAGTTTAATACCAGGAAAGTGATGCATCTTTTCTTTTTTTTTTCCTCCAGCTTTATTGAGGTAAAACTGACAAAACTGGTATGTGGTTTAATAGGTTTTCAACATGCATATTGAAAACTGATGATCGATCGCAACCAAGTTAGTTAACACATCTATCATTTCATTTACCTCTTTTTTTGTGGTAAGAATATTTACAATCTATTCTCCTAGCAGGTTTCAAGTACACATCATTAACCACCAGTCAGCATGCTGCTCCATACCTTTTCTTTTAAGAGGACCAAGAACACTGGGTCTAATGCATTTTCCAGGACTCTGGATTCTCCGGCTTTAGGAAATAAACAGAAAGATGTGAAGTACTTGCAAGATGTACTATAACCCGGCTACCAAATAAATACATACATGAATGAGTAAAATTTATGCTCATACGCGCAGAAATAGGAAGTGTTGGTGTAATAGGCTGAGTAACTGGAACGCCCATACGTGATGTGATCTAGCAGAGGGCAATTCAGAATGCCACGGCATTTTATTTTAACCATTTAAAAATCACTCTATAAGACAAAATACTACGAACAGTCTAAAGGAAAAGATACCTTACTAAAAAGTTATTTGGATTTTGAGTGATCTATAATCTTAAATTTTTTCCTATAGGTGTGTGCGTGTCTGTGTGTGTGTGTTCCCTCTCAAAATAAGTCAGCACAAAGTTCAAAAAACACAATCTGGTAAAATGTTAAGTGGCAGAATATAGGCAGTGGGCATACGGTCTGCCAAAAAATGCGCACACTTGAGCATTTGACACTAATCAAGGCCTGGCAGCTTCCTGGCAGCTAAAGGCCACCACTTTGAGCATCTTTTGTAATTTCAGGGGCCAAAGTTAACCTGTATGACTCCCATGATGCCTCAGTACATTTAGTATAAAAATACTTATGCAGGTTTTTCTTTTCCTGATGTATACGTTAGCTCGGTGGATTCCAGATGTTCACTGTGAAATCCTTTCAATTGTGCTGCATGTTTGAAAATTTCTACAATAAATTATTGGGAGAAACCGATTTGAGAGATAAATATGAGGAGTGGCGCTTGAATCGCCTTGAAAATTCAAGTTCACTTACCTTGAAAATCGTCTTGGATTACCAATAGAGCTTGAAGGCAATCCACTGCTGCTGACAAACATCTGTAGGGATAGAGAAAAGCGCTGCTAGAAAAAATACAGTTAATATTAAATTAATTCCTATACCCCAGTTTTCAAAGGATTCTTCTGACAAGTTTTTTATTCAAGTTACTGTATACTTTAAAAGTGAGGTGATGTGTGGACAAAATGTTTGAGACACGGAAGTGCTCAGTCTTATTAAAAAACAGTTACTACATCATCAACGGTCCTACCTTTCCAAATCCCTTGGTTGGTGAAGGTGCTGGGGAAACTGGAGTGAAGTCAATTTTCTTAGGAGAATATAATTTCTCTGGCTTGTCAAAATCACTATCACTCTGTAAACATAAAGTGTCATTTTCTCATAACTACTGAGTCCATAGCAGCTCCTGCTTTCACATCACATCTACGTTTTATGAGTAGAAATGTATCTATTTTAATATTTTGCTGGAAGAGCAGAGATCAAAAACAAGGAGCAACTTCGAAGGATACAAGCAGAAAACAGAAAACAGTGAACAAAGCCAGTGAACCCCATAAAGAGTTCTAAAAGATTAAAAAAAAAATAAGCAGACAAGGGAAAATTTTACCAGGCTCAAGCTTTCATCCCATGACTGGCTTATCTGCATTGCCGAGTGCACTTCCCTAAATAAGCAAAAGAAAAGCCATCAGTGCTTACAAATAAGACATACGAAACTAGGCCCTGATCTCTTGACGCACTAACCTTTCATGTGCAGTTTCTCTATTCATAATATCCAGGCCTTCTTCCTATAAGGACAAAGATATGTGCTAAGAAATTATTTTTCATCCACATGGTTTGCAGTTCCAAATAAAATGGCTCTTCTACCTTACCTGGCTTAACCACAGGTGAGCGGGACTAACATTCTAAAAATGTCAACAATGCCACATCTGTATTTTACCTGCGCACTCCCAAGAACTGTATTCTGTATCTAACTAACCAGAAGTGTATTGTGTCTCCTTTTAATATGTGAAGCTTCAAAATCACAATAAAAATGTGAAATCCAAAAATTTCAGATCTGGGCTAGTAAGTAAAATTTACCCTTTTGATTTCATGCAGTCTGCTACTAGGGATACGATTAGGTGAAGATGGCAGCAACTGGAAAGAAAAAGTCAACATTTACTACTTTCTGAATCACAAAGCAGCAGTCTGCTATCAGAACTGGTGTATGACCTCTTCCAAGATAATTTTTCATATTCTTCTTAGAAATTTAGTGCTTAAATCCCTCAACATTAATGCACTAGAGGCAGTACATTCAGTCTTTAGAAAGTACACCAGGTGTCCAACCTCAAAGCACCATCTGTTGTTAGAGAGGCACTGGCCTTAGCACTTTTCTCAGATGAATGCAGAGCTGTGTAAATTTAGGGAAAAAAGACTCTGGGCCTTGGAAATTGCCATTATCCCACTCATCTACAATAAGGAACTAGATGAGAAGGGAAAGAAAAACATCGATGTCACAAATTTTATTTGTAACAAGACAGGCTAACAAGGCCAGTATAATATTATCTGGGATGCATAGTCTCAAAAAGAGTTAACAGTGGAATAAGGAGATTTTCTTTCCATAATCTAAATTAACTCTAAGATTTGATCACAAATATTGCCAGAAAGATAGCTCTGTAGGATAAGTGCCTGCCTGGCAAGCACAGGGTCCTGAGTTCAATTCCTGTTACTGCAAAAAAAAAAAAATACTATCACCACAATCCTGTCTAAAGAAAACTTAATATGCAAAGTAGCTGTTGCTTTCCCTTTAGGATCAAATTTTTTTTTTTCTTTCTTTCTTTTTTTTTTTTTTTTGTGGAACCAGGGATTGAACTCAGGCCCTTGAGCTTGCCGGGGAAGCGCCAAATTTCTATCCCATCAAAAAATTAAAGTTGATAATCAACAGCTATTAAAGGGTTTTAATTGTCATAGTATAAACAGCTACTGCAAATAAGCTATAATACTATAAACTAAATAAGGTAATTATCCTGTTTAAGAGGCCCTATGCTATTACAACTTTTGAATACTAATGTAGTAAGGAGTATTGTTTAGTGATGGTGGTAGTAGTGCTAGAGCTTGAACCTGGGGCCTGTGCACTGAGCCACATCTCCATCCCCTTTTGAATTTTTACTTTCATCTGGGCATGGTGGTACACACCTGCAATCCCAGCACTTGGGTGACTGAGGCAAGGAGGATTGCCATGAGTTTAAGGCCAGCCTGGGCTACCATATTTATTTTGAGACAGGGTCTTGCTAAATCCCACAGACTGGGCTTGAACTTGCAATCCTCTTGCCTCATCCTCTCAGAGTACTGGGAGTACAAGTGCGTGCTACCACACCTGGCTTAAAAATGTTCTTTAGGCAAAAACTAAGTCAGGTAAGCTTTTCACAAATTATCTACTAAAGCATGATTTCACCTCAAAAATATCCCTTCACTACCCATCCTTTTACTTTTTTTCTCAAAGGTGTTAAGAAGAGAAAAACCTTTACCAGAAAAATCATTTGAAAGTTTGTTTTCCATTATGAAAATAATAAGCATGAACTGGCGAACTGTTAATAAGGTCATTTGAAAAGCATTAATCAAGCCAGCAGAAAAGGTACAGAGCTTCTCTAACAGGCTGACAGGGAAGGGCTCACACAAGTGTCAGTCAGAGAACCAAAAAACCCCAAAGGCAGTGAAATTTGGAGCACTGCAGTGAGCATGGCTACAGACTGCCTGTAGAGAAAGTCAGAAATTTAGATGTTATGCTTTCATAATACACAACTTGTCAGTTGTAGACAAAGCTAGACAAGTGGCCTGGAGAGAGGGATGAGAACAGCAAAGCTGTGCCTAGAACCAGAAATGAGAGCAATGTATCAGCTAAGCAGAACGGCCAAGAGAGCTTCAAGAAAGTGTTGCTAATGGCGTCGCGTGAAACAGGGCTCAAACGGGATACGAAATGAGCCCCTGACACTGGCAATTAAGTGGACATGAGTGACATTTGCAAGGACAGTTTTTTAATGGAATTGAGAGGTTTCAAATTGTCAAGAAATTGGGGGAAAAAAAAGAAATTGGTGGGCCGGCAAGATGGCTCAGTGGAATAAGCGCTTCCCTGGCAAGCGCAAGGGCCAGAGTTCAATCCCTGGTTCCACCAAAAACAAAAACAAAAAACAAGGAAAAAAGAAATTGGGGGACAGGCAAGCAGAGGCAGATGAGTGTTGATTGTGCTTTAACAAAGTTTGAGGAAAGGAAGGAAAGGGAAGGGGAAACCTATGAGAGAGAAAACTGTTTTCCCCACATCAGATGGGTAAGTTGGGAGAAGACAGTGGGAGGACAAGTGCCAGAGAGGGAGAGTCACAGACAGCGCAAAGTGACAGGATGGTCAGAAACATATGAACCATCAGGGAGTAGTGCCATATGTGAAGCTGGAGACACCCTAAGGAGTGGAAAGCTGATGTCTGTAAGACAAGTGTCTGTCTTCTCTGTGCAGTGAGAAGGCTCATGGGCTGGAAGTGAGGAGTGGGGAGACAGGAAACCGGCAGTCTAAAACAAAAGACAGTGAATCAGAACACGGCTTGGGAGCACAGCATGGAACGAGTGGCACCTTAAACCCCACTTTCCCCCAAAAGAAGTCACCTTCTTTCCCCTCAAGCTACCAGTCCTCTTGAGTTCTCCAGTACTGTCAGGGCAACAGCCTTTCCCTGGTCACCAAAAACCACAACTGCAATCACTTCCGAATTCTCCTTTACCCTGCACTAATACCTAAGCAGCTGGCAAAGCATGAAGCTTCTACTGCTCCATACGTCTTATTTTCCCCTCCTCTCTATTATATTTGCCAACACTTGACTCTGTAGGTTACTGTAAGACACAGATAAGAACACTTGGATTTACAGAGTGCACTCTGGCATCATATAGGCAATGTCACTATTATCATGAGAGTGGGGACCTGTGTGATGAAGATATGAGGAGTGAACTGGGTTTCTACGGATCAGAAATCTAGAAAGACAACAGGAAGCAGGCGAAGGGTAGCATAGGGGTCAGCAAGAACAGTGAATCACCATAGCCCCTTCAGACAATGAGGTATCCGTGGGCAGTTGCTGCCCAGGCTGTCTGTCAGGGAGCGATGAGGTAAACCTAGAGCAGAGTTGGTAAGAATGGTCACGTTTTTACAAGAGGCAACTGGAGTGTACAGAGGCAAATTCATTTATCCCTTTTTTGCTATGCTACTCTTATCAGGATCATAGCTGTATAAAATGTAAAAACATCCTTCATATAGCCAGCAAAAATAAGTGGTTATATTTTCCAGTATGCCCCAGGAAGGAGGTGAAGCAAAGCAAACCTCTAGATAGCTAACATTTTTCCCTTTAAGTATTTTCAGTCATTTCAGCTGGAAATCTCTTAAAATGTGTTATATTTTCCCTTCTCAAACAGATTACACCAAACAGAATGGCACTGGAAAGTCTCTATTCTACCACTTACTACTGCGTGATTCTGAGCTAACCATTTATGTCGTCTGAGTCTTAGCTGGTCCTATTTTTATTTGGGAAAAATGCTTTTTTCCCTGTCTACTTCACAGGGGTTGTTATAAAAATTAAAACACATGACAATCCTCTGTATCACATAAAATGCCATTCAAGTGTAAGCATTACTGGAATTGAAGAAAAGGTTAAACCTTAAAAGCATTATTATAAAGCTCTATACTAGTGACATACCAGGGACTATCAACAGCTTCTTAGCTGCACACTATTTTTTTTTTAAAAACCCTCCACTTTTCAATTTTACCCTCCTTTCTTTGGTTAGCAGTTATCAGTATACCTTTAAGCCAAAGGCAGCTCATCTGATTTGCTATTTCTCAGATACGATGTGGCTGGGAGCTTATTACAATTGTGCATAAATTTTAGATGACTCAGAGGTCGGAGAGGCACTCCTATAAATAAACCGATAAACGTTTGTGCATAGACTACGGAAATCTAGTTCAGCCGTTGAGAGATCCATGTGCTTACATCACAGACGTCTTCCAGAGCACTGGAGCTTCAGGCTGAGGGAGTTCTGCATGTGAAGAGCTACTGCACAAAAACCTGCCTAATTTCTCTAAAGCAACCAACTAATAAGGTGATCTGCAACATCTCTAGCTATCAACAACAGTCATGTTGAGCAACTCTTCTAAGAATGAATGTAGGACAACTAACAGGTAGTACTTCTAACTCTGCAGGTAGAGTTAGAAGTCAGAATCCTGATTTACTTACAAACACGACAAAAGTAGTGATAAATAACCATGAACAATCTTTTTAAATACCAAGTCCTACAGCAAAGAAAAATGATACTCTTAGTCTCCTTTTGTAACTAAAGCTAACTGGTCACAGCAAAACTAGTGAACAGAGCAGGTAATATCTTCTATTTTTCAAATGATTGTGTATACCACATAATTTCGAAGTAGACCATATTTCCAAGAACATTCTCAGATCTAAATCACTTTGGATACTAACTTTGATACTTACCAAACTGCGACTGTTCATAATTGTTGTACTATTGCTCCGAGATTTAATTGTAAAAGGTTGAAAAACCGGCGAAAGATCGCTGGAAAGTCAAAATAAAATGATTAGTGTCTTGTAAAGGAAGATATCATTCAGATGTATTAGCATCAGTTTTGTACTCAGCAATAAAATCTTCCAAGCCTACTTTCTGATAATGAAAAATCCCCTTGGTGTCCTCTTGGCAGAACTGTCAGGACTGGTGTGCAGTGGCTCACAAGTTGACCAAGAACTGATCTCCTCAGTGGCTGGGGAGGCAGTTTAGAGGCCTGCAGGGTGGGAGGCTGAAACTGGTTCAAACCAGCTACTTCCAGTCAAAGCCACACCCCCAAACCAAGCCAGTTCCCACCAGAGTTGTTCATCCATCTCATGGGACAATTATTACAGTACTCTGTGTGTGCTTTCCTTCAGCTGTTCTAGGTGAGAAGCCATATCAGCACATCTCAGAGGACTGCTACCTACACATGTGCTGTACCACTGAAAGTGACCTAAATGAATAAACTTACATGTGGTTTTTTCCCTGCTCAAGTTGTCCCCTGTGCCTTGAATGCTCTCCCTCCTGTCATCTTGAGATTTTTTTCCTTCCACACTCACCTCAAACAACATGCCTTCCATGGAGGCCCTCCATAAACAACTACTCATTCCACAAACCTAATGCAATCATTTCTTTCTTTGTGTTTTATTTTATGAGGCAGGCAGGGTCTTATTATGTAGTTTAGGCAGTCCTGGAATCCACTATGTAGCCTAGGCTGCCCTTGAACTCATGGCTGTCCTTCTGCCTCAGCCTTCCAGGGCTGTCATTTCCTCCTTTGAATGCAAAGAACACACTGGGAGATGGCACAGCTTCTTAAGACATCTACTTTCTTTCTCTTCTTTTCTTTTTTTCTTTTTTTTTTAAGACATGGTCTCAGCATACTGATCAGGCTTCTCTTGAACCCCAGGGCCAAACTCTGATCACCATACCCAGCTAAAAAATACCTTTTTAATGGTGCTGGAGATGAAACCCAGCTTTACACGTTAAGCTCACTCTATCACTAAGCTACACTCATAGCCCTGCTTTCTTGTTTTTGTTTTTTTGTAGTGCTGGGGGTGAACCCCGGAACTCACATATTTTAAGAATGGGTTCAACAACTAAGCCACACCTCCCAACACCTACTTTCCCTTTTGTTAAAAAGTTTTCTCCAGTTCAAAAAAAGAAGAAAAAGTGTGTGCATGAATCTTAAACCTCTTGGTACAAAGATGCTTTATTCACTTTTATCTAATATCCCCGCAATGCCAAGTACAAGCTGTGTCCATGATAACAATTCAAGAAGCTCAGTGGCACAATGCTTGCTTAGCATGTGCAAGGTTTAGGGTTGCATTCCCAAAATTAAAAAAAAAAAAAAAAGAGCTGAATGACTTTCAGAATGGAATTGGATTGGGCTCCAAAGGACCACTGAGATGGCATATTTCAGCTCCCCTAAATTTTCAAATGGGAAAACAGATTCAGAAAGCTTCAATGACTCATTCATGAGCACAGCTAGTGAGTAAAATTGGGATCAGGCTTAGGGATGTGCCTTATCCTTCTTTCATATCACAGCACCTTTTAAATAATTACTTCACTTGTGATTCATAAAACAGTACTATATTTATTTACTTTTGTGCCATTATCTAAATGCAGGTCAGTAGGCTCAACCAAGTCTCTAGCAATTGCTTGCTTACCAGAGTGTGAAAGAAGACAGAGGGAGAGAATCAGTTGCTCTTAAAGTATATTAAAAAATGTAGGTCCAAGGATAACATCAGAAAAACAAAGTCACTCCATTACCCCTCAGCTTCAAAATTACAGTTCATGAAAACAGAAAGGTAAACTTGTTTTTGTCATCAAAATGAAGAAATTACAATCAGTTCAAGAGACACAAATTATCTTTCTATACCTTCACTGTGCTTGATTAATATAGTTTTGGCTCACTGCACTCCCACCTCCTTTTATGGACTAATGCCATTTTTGAAGGGTCTCACACACTGCCTCTCTACCTAAAATGAATTGTCTGCTTATAAAAGTGAAATGTAATGAATGGATTAATAGGTTAGGCAACCTACCTTTTTCACTATCTCAAGATTCTACTTTTAAATAAACACTCTGGTGTCTTATTCACATAAAAGCATGAGATTCTGCCGCTGAAATTAAAGGGTCGATTCTTTCCATTGCTGTCTCAAACCTGTGTTTCCACTGACCTAAGCTACAGGCCACCCTTCCTTTCTTGTTCACTGAAATACACTTGTGGCACTTTTAGAATCTGAAAACATCTGAGCAAATCCAACTCACTTAATGTGACATGAATGCACCATTCAATTACAAGTTATTAGGTACATTCTGATTTATTAAAGCAAACCTCTGCTACTGCCAGGGTTCTAAATTCAGCTTAGAAGTAGCAGCTTGTAGACCCAAGTGTCAAGTTGCAAGCCTAGTTCCAGGGGCTTCAGTCTGACATTCATTCCCTGGTGTAAATTAGCTAGGGCAAAAACCTGACAGAGGAGCCAGGAGCTGTCTGCAGTTCCTTTTAGAGTGGGACAACATGGTCTCCTGGTTTAGGGGGGCGGTGTTGTTTCCCCGATGTGGACCAGAGTTTGAGGTCAAACTTTTGCTTCCCCTTAGGACCCGAGTCAATGTCCAGCAAACATGTCTCCAAACCCCTCGGTTTGAAAAGCTCAAACCCGCACCTAAAAGGAAGAGTTCATGCACAGGGTCAAGACGACCCTGCCCCCCCAACTCCATCCTCTCCAGGGCTCCTCACCTGAGTCCATGGATCTGGGGAGCGCTGCTGGACCTCCTCAGGGTGCTCTCAAGAGATATGTCAGGCTCTAAGTCCAGCTCCATTTTCTCCTGAGACATGTCGGAGGCTTGCAGGCAGGCAGGCAGGCAGGCACAGCAGGCAGTACTCAGCTCCTGGTGCTTAGCTATGGGCTTCCAAGACTCACTGCAGGACTGAGCTTCTAGGGACTGGCAGCTGGGGGCGGGGGGCTAAGGGGCGGAGGCTTGGGGGTGGAGAAAATAGAGGAGGAGGAGGAGGAGGGGGCGGGAAGGGGCGGAGAAGGGAGGGGAGGGGAGGGGAGAAAGCTGATGAGGAAGAGAGGACTGTGGTGAGGGGAGAAGGATGGAGGTTGTGTCGGATGGCAACAGAATGAAGAAACGGGGTAGAGGAAAGACGGATGGCGGGAAGGCAAGGATGGAGGAGGAGGGAAGAGAAAAGGGATGGAAAGAGGATAGATGGAGAGGTGGGGCAGAGGTAAGAGGCAGGGGAGAGCAGAGGAGGAAAGACGGTAGGGAAACAGCACAGGACAGGAAAGGAGAAGGTATGGGGAAGAGAGGAAGGCCAGCGGGAGAAGAGGAAGAAGGGGAGGAAACTAGGCAATGGCGGAATTCATGCCGCTGTCTTTCCCGCCGAGTGCCACCGGCGGGGACCGGCTATAGATGCCGCGGCTCCCTGGGCAACGTTAGCAACCAGAACCCGACAGTTGAGCAGGGCCCGGCTGGGAGGTCTCGGAAGATCCACCTCCCCATACTCGGGGACTTTGTCCAGCCCCCCATGCTCCGGGATTTGGTCCGGAGACTCAGCCCTGAGATCGGGGATTCTCCCGACCCTGCCCCCTCCCGCCTCAAGGACTGATGGAAGGATTTGTCCCCTCGGCCGCCACCGCGGTGCCTCCTCTTCCTCTCACGTTCTAATGGCCAGGGAACCCCAAAGGCCAAGATCAAAATCTACAACCTGCCACCTTTACAGCCTCCCACGCTTCGGAAGCGGGAGCCTCCGTGGGGCCAGCTCTTCCGCGTCAGGGCACCCATGGGGTCCTGCGCATGCTCAGAGCGGCCCCTCCAGCGGGGTAACCAGAGTACAGAGCATGTGCAAAAGCCTCGTCCCACTACGGTCCCTCAAAGGGGAGGGGCGTTTCCAGCGGCCGGTGCCTTCCTCCGTGGCATTGGCCTGGGAACCCTGGCGCTCTATTTCGAAAAGAGCCAATAGTTTGGAGATTCTGGAGTACCACGTTCACTACTTTTAAACAACATTCAAGGGCAATAGGAACATGGAAATTCCAAGTTTATTCCCAACTTATACGCAGTGATCTTTGTGATCCCCACTCATTTCATTTCTTAAATTCTTCAATTGTCGATTTAGGGAGAGGATGATTTTTCAATCATCCATTTGGATATATAAAATACATGCATATATATCATATGCAAACTGTTGTAGTTTGGGATTTTGCAGCCCTAAGAGTATAAATAGGGCACATAAAATTATTTTACAATGAATCGCCAAAAAAAAATCATATACCAAGAGTGCAGGAAATTTGTCCACACACTAAAGACCCAAAGAATCCCTGGATCTCACAATAATGTCCTGCATGAGTTCAGCTGAAGACCTAGAGCCCATAACAATGCCCCCCAAGACTCCACCTAGAGACCTAGAGCCCATCACCATGTCTCATGCAGGCCTGTTTTGTGGATCTGCACTGGGAAAGCCCAAAGTTTAGTGGTGGAAGTCAGAAAGTTTGCGCCAGTGGGATGAACGATCTGTGCCAGTAGGCTGAGGTGTGATAAAGGGCCTGGAAGAACCAAGGTAAGAACCAGAGCTCCCCCAAAAAGTACCACAGGTATCCTCAGCAACAGTGAGTCCCTATCAGGAAAGCCAACGTGACAAGCTTCTCTAGTAGACTGAGCAGTGCACCATGTCCCCCTCTAGAGCCAAGAAATGATGCTGAAGGTGAGGACCAGAGCCTCTCCCGCAAGGTGAACCACAGCCACCCTCAGTGACAAGGTTCTGAGCGCCTCCTCCAATGAGAACAATGAAGTTCACCAGGAAAACCAGCATGACAGGGTTGTCTTGCAGAACAGCCCAAGAGAACTAGCAGCTTCCAAGACTTCCAGCAGCTTCTCCAAACAGCTTCCCTAACAGCCTCTTCTTCGTTTACTCAGTTCTGCCACTACGCTGCTGGCAACAATCCTCAGGTGGGCCTCCCACACCCATGTAACTCTTACTATGTATCAGGCAGCATTCTATCAGGTATAAAAACATTTTTAGGGGTTCTGGGGAGATGGCTCAATGGAATAAGTGCAAGGGCCTGAGTTCAATCCCTGATATATATATATATATATATATATATATGTATTTAGTACAGGATCTACAGGGTCTCACTATGTACATCGGACTTGTAGTTATTCTCTTGTTTTCAGCCTCCCAAGAGCTGGGATTATAGGCACACACCACCATGCCCATTCTTAATCGCCATCTCAGTGCGCCCCTGGGGCTGGGCTGTCATGCCACACTGGGGATCAAACCCTGGCTGCTGTGCTTTGCCTAAGCAGGCCCTTTAGTCCGTTGAGCTGTATGACCAGCCCTTATGGAAATATTAATTCACTTAAAAATCACCACCTGAGTGGCCCTGGGGATGAAAGCCACTTGCATTTTGTAATATGAGGGTTTTCAAAACACTTTTGGTTTAATTTTCTTTAATCTGCCAGCTAGAATAAGGAAAAAAGGAAACTCTAAGCAACTTATGCAACTCTTTTTATCTCAAGGTCTCAGCACACAGTTTGCTCAAAAAAATCATAATACATTCCTTTGTTCACAATAGCCACTCAACAACAATTTGTTGGTCACATGCACAGTCTTTATCTCTGAGAAGTCAAATCATTTACTTGAATCCAGAATTTTCAGGAGCTAAACTTAGAACCTCTAGGATATGTGAGAAGAAGGATGCTGCTTTGCTCATTATTTCCAGGTTTGAATCAATTGCTCTTGTCTATCTGATTTTACTTCGTTTTCTTTATCCTTTATGTAAATCTTTTTGGAAGTTGGGAATGTTGGTGGCCTGGGGTTCAACTTGAAATTGACTTGCTCTTAAAGCCTGAAATGTAATGTTAAAGTTTCCAAGGCAGTTGGTAAAATAAAAAAATTCCTCATGACATTTTTGTGAGACACTTTTAATAGGTCGAGAGGCCTTGGGCAGGTGGCAGCAGACTAGGGCATAGAAAGAAAGCAGTAGAAGGCTCTAAGGTATAGATTCAGACATACCAGTGGCCTGAGATTGTGGCCTACTGCTGTGGAACGGGAAGAACTGATCATGAAATGCAGCCAGGTTGGTGTAAAAATGTGCAGGCAGAAATGGAGAAGTAAAAACAGTGTCCTTACATTGTGTTTGCTGTGCAACCTGCAGACATTTTCTTGGTTTTGTAGTACATTTTCCTTTTGATACTCCAACCTGTGTATGGACTATGAGTCCTATTTAAGACTTTATGGTTCCACCAAAAAAAAAAAAAAAAAAAGACTTTAGGTTCCTGGGCCGGCCTGAAAGCTCAGAGGACTAAAGCGCCTGCTTAGGCAGAGTGCAGTGGCTGGGGTTCAATCCTCAGGCCTGAAGTGCCAGCCCCCCCCCCCGTGCTGAGACTGCGATTGAGACTGGGCGTGGTGGCACATGCCTGTCATCTCAGCGCTTAGGAGGGTGAAAACAGGAGAATCACTATGAGTCTGATCTACGTAGTGAGACCCTGAAGACCCTGTAGAACCTGTCCTAAAAATACAGAAAAAGAGGGGAAAAAAAGATTATGTAGCTGCTCTCAAGATAAACAAAATTACCTCTCTTTGGTAATAGCTAGAACCACATTGCTATCATATATATAATTTTATATTACTGTACTGCCCCATTTTAGTTCCATAGTTGTCCCTGCCTTGTTATTTTATTATATCTACTGTATTTTCTTAGTGTTATTTATACATAGTTGTCTACAAAATTAGATTTCTGTAATAAGCATATGAAATTTTGTCTATTCATTCAATATATATTCATTAAACCTTACTGCTTGCCAAGAAGATTAATAAACTCTGTGAATAGTAAAATAAACAGTAGGATGGAGGTAAGAACTACTTGTTTACTGGCATACTCCGGTATGTTATTAAGATAGTTTGCTTTTGACCCTCTGTTCTGTTTTTAACAACTGCATTCACTCAGACTTTACTCTTTTTTTTCCCTTTCTCTTTTTAAGATAGGTGCTCACTATACCGTTCAGGTTGGCTTCAAACTCATTTTGCAGCCCAGGCTGGCCTGGACTCTAAGTGATCCTCCTGTCTCTGCTTCCAGAGTGCTGGGTTTATAGACATTCGTCCTCACGCCTGGGTCTTTACTCTTTACAGTTTTGATTACCATCTTTTGTAAAATTTTCAGATACTCTAAGAATTTTAACGGTGGCTTTCAATTCGTGTTGCTAGCCTAGACTCTGCTGCTGCCTAATCATGTGTTATTAATGTCTTTGGAATTTTGTGAGCTGTAAAACTGAAATGTTATTGCCTTTACAAGATAGCTATGAATGACAGGCTTGCATTTATTCTTACAATAATAAATATGTATTCACAGCTCATGAGTACCAAAATGTATACAGGGAGATATTCAGAGGTACCTCATCTGTCTTTTTATTTACTATACTAACGAGCAAAGGAATATTGGATTTGTTACTTAATAATTGTAATTTGAGTTATCCCTTTAGTTTCTTCCTTTGAAAAATAGCTATGAAGAGGAAGATTTTATTTTTTAAAATCTTTTATATTTATTTATGTATTTTGAAATTTAATTTAATTTTATTTTTGGCCAAACTGGGGACTGAACTCAGGCCCTTGCACTTGCCAGGCAAGCACTTATTCTAATGAGCCATTTCCCCGGCGCCTTATGTATGTGTTTGATGCAGGTTCTTGCTATGCAGCTTGGCTCCTGCCTCGGCCTCCCCAATGCTATGATTACAGGTGTGTGCCACCACACCCGGTTCCTGCACGCATGCAGTAGAGAGGATTGAACCTGGGTCTTTGCACTTGTCTGGCAGATGCTTATGATACAGGGAACGAATGATGATGCTGGGTGGATGACCTCCAAATGAAATAGGGGAAAAATGAAACTCACGCCCTGAAAAGTACCTGGGATGAGTTTGTGTTCTCTAAAACTGAAGAATGAATTTTAGGAACAAAGGGAGGTTATGAGCAGAATATATTTATTGAGGGAAAGAAGGCTCCTCTCCAAGAGAGGGACAGGAGGGAGGCCTGAGTGGGTTGTCCCCGGGAAGCTGTCTCTTCCAAAGACTTTCATAAAGGAAAACCATGCAGTGAGGCGGGTCTAAGGTGGTGGAGAAGACATGGGAACTCGCTCAGGTGGGCATGAGGTGGGACAAAATTATGACCAACCAACGAGATTGCAAGCACTGTTGCTCAGGTAAAATTGATTAAATCCAGTACCAAAAGAGGAAGCAAGTCTCTTAGCAAGTGGGCATGAATATGGGACAAGGTCTCTTCCTGTTGGGGGTTGGGTTAGTGACTCACTCAGGCTCTTTCAAGGTGATTGATCCCTATTTACAATATCAATCCCTGATGCCCATCCCTAGGGAAGTATGTAACTGTGTTTCCTCTTTTGTGTTGAGGTCTGGCCTATAGGGAGTGTCTGTCTCTTCCAAGTTGCAAAGTCACCTTGTCTTCCATATTGTCTCCTTAAGGGCCTCGCCTTGTCTGATTACCTATATTTCTATCTAATTCAGCTGCCTGCAACACTTAGACCATGGAGCTATCTCTCCTGCCCTGAAGAGGCAGATTTTATGGTGGTATGTGGCTGTAATTCCCAGCATTGTGGGAGGTTGAGGCAAGATGGTGAGTTCAAGCCCAGTTTGGGAAATCTATTTTATTTATTTGGTGGTACCAGGGATCGAACTCAGGACCTTGCACTTGCCAGGCAAGCACTTATTCCACTGAGCTATCTCCCCAGCCCCTGAAGAAGCAGATTTTATTCAAAGTAAAATATATACTATATGTTAAAAAA